CCCCCCCCCCGTGTTGCTCCGTAATACAGATTCAACTTAGAAAAAATAATGCTGTAAAACATCTTACCGCAGGCTGAGGCTTCTCTGGCAATGTCCCTGAAGACTTCATCTTTTCAACAAGCATATTAAATGCCAACATTTCCTCCTTTGAGCTAGTTGTGTCGCCCCTTTTGAGATTTTCTTTGTTTTGTTCCAAGTCACTAGTCTCTTTCTTTGCAAAGTCCACGCCATCTTTTGTGACCTCAGCCTCAATGTCCTCCAACCTGACTGATCCTTTAACTTTGCTTTCCTTTCCGACAGACATAACCTCATCCAGAAAAGGCTGCATGTTGATGCGGGTACTCTGTAGCATGTGCGCCAGGCCATGAGAGTCAACACCATCAACTACTGAAGGTGCAATTGGGGAGAATAAGTAGTTTGGTCCTGGTGACGGCGTCCGAGGTGTGTTTGTACCACCACTTGCAATACCTATTAAAAGCATTTGTTCAATTATTCGGCTATGCAACAGACCTTTCCCCAGGATAGAGAACGTGATAAAACAATGTTTAGATAAGAAATATGATTCTCAGGGGATGAAAGCAAGCGTTTCAAATGACAGGTATCAAAAACTTTAGCTTAGTGTAATTTCCACTGATGGAGATGACGGTTAGAAATTGTTTGATTCAGGCTATGTTCCAAAAATACCAGGCAAATTTTCTTTCAGCTGAAACAAACGAGACAAAAGTTTCGAAAATTAAGCCGCCCAGCCGTTCAAAAATGTGTGTACAAAAAGTGGAGTCAGATTTTGTTACCAATAATGTGTGTATGCCTAGCTAAGAGTATGAATTATACAACCAGCAATTCATTTCACCACTTTGAAAAAGAGGAACCATTCTTCAAAATGGCGGAAGAAACAGTTAAATCAAAGAGAGTACATTTTGTCAACGCTGTTTCCAGTACACCTACCTGGACTTCCACTTCTACTGCTACTGTAGTTACTTCCAGGTTGACCAAAAAACTGACGAAACCGACTACTGGCTTGGTCCACCTGATCAAAACATAATGGATGAAACAATGTTATTGACTGTTTCATTTTTTCCCCAATTATTACGTTTGCAATGTAGAGGATTCCCAATAGGGCTCTCTAATGTTGTTTCTTTCAAGGAAAAGAAGCAATGTCTGGATTTTCAAAACGTTACCTTTCCCCCACCATTGAGGAATAACAATTTTTGCTAATGTCTAGAGACATATAGGATTATGGTTCTCATGAGAATTTGGGACATGGATGCTGGCAAAGGACTCAGAAGACAAAGCCCCTGCTATCTTTCAAATGCATCACCAGGCAGTGTACTTTGGACACTCTACTGAGTCACCAGGAAGAGAGGTTTTGAAACAACACAAGGAGAACCACATAGGAGGTCATTATTTTTCTTCTAACTGTCACCACACACACACACAGTAAGCAATTCATTGCTAGAGAAACAAACTCTACCCTGCAATTAACAAAGTATCAGGAACCCAAAACACTTAATAAATGTTGCAGTGTGGAGTGGAGTAAATACAGTTTACATTAAGTACACAAATGGGTACAAGCACCAATAATCCATACTGCCCCATGAGTGCAATCCCACTGAAAACCATCATGAAAAGCTGAAGTGTGTAGGGACAGACTGGTTGATGGTTGACCTGAGCCTGT